CTGCGCGACTGCGTGCTTGCGGGCGGTGCGCAGCTGCGGATTGGCGGCCTCGGCGAGAACACGGCGCGCCTGATGCCCCACGCCCTCGTCAACATGACGAATGTGACGTCGCTGGAGGGCACGATCGTGCTGCATGGCGCGATGCCGCTGAACTCGAGTGTGCTGCTGGCGAACTCAACGCTGCGCGCGACGGTTGGCGGGTCGCAGTACGTGCCGATAACTCCTGGATACGAGGGATTGAGGTGTGGCCCCGCGCTTGTTCTGGACGGCGTCCGGCTTCTGTCGACGCGGTTTGTCATGACGCGGTCGACGCTGTTGTGCGGCGGGGAATCGTGCGCTGCGATCCTCGTGGAGCGCGGCCTCGGCGTGAACCTGTCTAGCGTCTTCTACATGGACAACTGCGCCGTCAATTCGCGGACGCACGTGATGTATGCCCTTGCGTCGGACCTGCGTGTTGGCGGCGGCTCCGTGTTCTCCATACGGAACAGCTCGTGGATTGCTCCGAGCACCGAGTTCTACAAAGGCGCGTGTGTGTTTGGGGATGTTGTGGTGGCTGGCGGCAGCGTACTGCAGGTTGTGTCCAGTAATTTCCGTCTTGGCTTTGCCATGCTCATGGCAACCACCCTGGCCGTGACTGACGGCAGCTGGCTGGTGCACCGCAACAACGAGTTTCGCACCGCCTACGTTGCGTACGTTGACAAGGAAAACGGCGTGACTTTCCGCGATCGGAGTGTGTGGTCGATACTTGACAACAAACTCACGTACGGCTCTTACTCGTCGACCATCGCACGCGTGATAAACAACTGGTCACCGCAATCCGACTCGCGCCCGATCATCTACGGCATGTGCAACGAGGCAATGGGCTCACCTGTGACGGATTACCGAGAAAACCTCAATATTGGGACGCCCGTGACGGTGTTGGACTGTGGTGCGTGTACCATGGGCGCCGTGTGCTTCGCAGCGAGGACGAGCAGTATCAGTGGCTGTGAGTGTGTGTGCGCTGCTGGCGGCTACGGTGACACGTGTCTGCCAGCAGCGGTTCCGGACGGCCTTGGGCCGCTCCCGCTCCCTGACGCGAAGGACACGGAGGTCCGCTGCGTGCACGGTGGCAGCATCAGCTCCGTGGACGTTCCTGATCCCGGTGTGCGTGGTCTGTGCTTTGTCAACGTGACCTTCACTGCCGCGATCGTGCTGGACCTGTATAACTTTAACGCACCACAACAGACACTCAACATCACGCTGCTGCAGTGCATCCTCATGGGCCTGTCGATCAAGGTGAGTGATGCACGCGTGCGCGTGAACGTGACATCCTCGATGCTGGATTCTGGTGAGTTGGTGTTTCAGGGTGATTTTGGCGCGAGCTCCCAGATACTGGTGGCGGGCAGTACGCTTGTGACGACGTCGGGCCATGCCATTTTATTTGTGGAGTTTACTCTCAGTGCTAATATGACGCTGCTGCTACTTGACAACTACATCGAAGGGAATATTCACGCAGTCTATTTCACCAATGCTGTTGTTGTTGATGGTGGCGAGATCATTGTGAGGGGAAATACGCTGAGGACAATAGAGAAGGATGCTTACAGCTCGCGGTCTGCCCTTTACTTTCACTCCGTGGATTTGAAGAACGGCGGCCACTTTGACGTGGAGAACAACACGATGAACGCGGCCAAGGGCGTTTATTTTTTTGGGGATACAGTTGTGAGCTCCGCGGGGCTGCTGCGAGTGGCGGACTGCACGTTTGTTGGCGATACGGAGTTTTTTGATCCCACGCTGGTGTATTTTTACGGCTCGGTGACACTTCGTGGTGGTGCGCAGTGGCGTGTGACTGGCAACGACGTAAGTGCCGCCTCAATAATAAGTATATCGCGTCACCAGCACAAAATTCAGCTGTCAGAAAGCGGCACCGCCGTGGCGCTTGCAAACAACCGTCAGGTGGGCTCAAGGGGTTTCTTCAATTTTTTTCCGTCGAGCATTATCGTGACGTCACCCGCGCGGTTGGTCGTTGGGTGCAACCTGCAGGGCGATGAGGAGGTGTTGTACGACGGTGTGTTTCCGGAGGACGTGTTGTTTGGGTGCGGCACATGCAACGACGACGCGGCGTGCTACATGCCCGGGACGGAGTCGGTGGACCGCAGCTCGTGCTCGTGCAGCTGTAAGGACGGATGGCATGGCGTGTCGTGTCTTCCCTTCGAGGTGCCCGACACGGTTGTGCCGCCCTTGCCGGAGAGAGCCGTTGACGGCGACACGAGCTGCGTGGTGAACAAGACGCTGACGAGCCTCACGCTGAACATGTGGAAGTCGCACCACTGCTACGTGAGTGTGACATTCAGCGGCGTGGGTGCTGTGCTGACGTTCTTACTCGACAGTATGCCGCTGCATCTCCCCATCAACATCACGCTCACTGGATGCACGTTCCTTGACGGTGCCGCGCTGCAGTTTGTTGGGGGTGCTGCGGCGGCCGAGTCATCCGGCGTCCTGATCCGCGTGAGCCAGACGGTGATGCGGTCCTCTGTTGTTGCTTTTGCACTTGCCCTCCCGCAGCACTGCGACATCGCCGTCACGGAGGTTGACGCGGTGCAGGCCTTTGAGGTCCGGTTGCCGGACGCTAGGATTACCACATTGAGCGTCGTGATGTTGCGGAAAATTGTTTTGGCTGCGTCTTCGCTGTTGGTCAGCAACGTCAAGTCGCGTGCATTGGATCATCGCGGGTTTGGTTTGCACTCTACCGGGACGCTGAAGCTGGTGGGTGGCAGCTCGCTCTACGTGCGGTACTGCAGCTTCGATAAATACTCGCACATGTTTTACATACACAGGCTGAGTGTGAGTGACCACTCTGTTTTTGCGCTGCTCAACAATACGATGTCCTCCGGGACGAGCTTCTTGTATCAGCACTACGGATTCAGCGTGTCGGATCACAGCGTGTTGCGCGTGGTGGGGAACAGCGGCTCTGTGTGCTACGTCATCTGTAATGAAGAATTGTGGAATGTTCGGGAGTCAAGCTGGTTAGATTGGCGCGACAACGACGTGGAAGTGGGTGCGATGTTTTACGACACTGAGTCCGCTTTTGTGATTATCGACGGCAGCAGTGTGGTGACGCTGACGGGCTGCAAGATGGGCTCGACGGGGTTGTCGGTCTCGCTGCTATCGCAGGCTGACGCCGGCTACCGGTTCTTTGTTGGGTGTCTGACGGTTGCGGGACGGGAGGTGACGACGGCGGCTGAGCTGGAGCTCCACGGCATCACCAACGTGACGACGGTTGCCGCATGCGGGGAGTGCACGAAGGATGGCGTCTGCTTTGCTCCGCTGACGACGGAGGTCAGTGACTGCAAGTGCCAGTGCGCTGCTGGAGGGCACGGCGATGTGTGCGTCCCGGCGCCTGTGCCTGCTGGCCCGCCACCGCCACTGCCGCCGCCACCGCCGCCGCCGCCGCCGCCATCGCCGCCGGTGGGTGAGTGCATCAGCGACATGGTGTACCCCGAGGTGGCGCAGGCTGTGGGCGGTGGGCTGTCGTGGTTGTGCTACCGCAACGTGACGTTCAGCGGGGGCGGCATGAGCCTGACGGTGCTGATTGGGGCGATGACGGGCGACGTGGCGAATGTCACGTTCGATGGATGCACGTGGAGGGATGGCGCCGTGCTCTTGCTTTTGGGCAACGCGTACGCCGCTGTGGGGTCGCTGAACATCGTCGTCACCGGCAACACGTTCCGTGACGCGCTGCTCAGCCCGGAGGGTGTGTTTCCACCGCACACGAACATCGCAATCAGCGGGAATCGCTTCACGGTCACGAGGCTGGTCCCTCGGTCGGGTTTGGGCCTTAGAAGGCCGTCGTGTGTTGCGATGAATGAGCTGGTGATCAGCAACGACTCCGCGGTGGTGCTGAGTGGCAATGTGTTTCACGCCGTGGCGGCATCTTCAAACGCCATTCACGTTGTTGAATATGCGCTGAGGGTGTCGTGGCACTCCGTGTTTGCTGTGATGGGCAACGCGTTTCATATGGCTGGCGGTAACAGTACGCTGATATATCTTGAAGGGACTAGCCAATCTTCGTCACTGAGTGTACTGAACAATTCTGCCGTGGTGATCCGAGGCAATCTTGTTTCGAGGCCGGTGGAGTACTTCATGTTTTTTCTGTGGGCATTACGTGTGGAGTTTCTGTCAGCGGTCGTTTTTCGAGGCAACGACATGCAGGGAAACTTGGCTGTGTTTTACTCAAGATCCAGTTTCCCTATCTACTACAACTCTTGGTTGCAGTTGAGCGGCAACCTCTGCCGTGAATCCCCATCGGAAGCCTTTGTATACATACACTACACGGTGAATCTCCGTGACTCCACGGTGTCTGTGTCCGGCAACCGATTCATGTCCGGCACGGGCACGCCGACAGTTTTGCGGATATCCACCGGGCCCCGCGATATCACAAACGGAGCGATTGTGGCCGCGTGCAACACTGTGAACGGCGGGAAGGAAGCGAAGTACAGCATCCCGTCCTTATACAATGCCACCATTCTGACCTGCAGCGACCCATGCTCTCTTGCGACGTCGTGCTTCCCCGCGTACACGACGACGGTCTCGAGTGATGGCTGCGCCTGCACGTGCGCGGAGGGCGGCCACGGCGATGCGTGCCTGCCCGTTGCTGTCCCCGAGCCACCGAGCACCGACGGCGCCGACTTGTGCGTGCGGGACGTGCGTGTGGATGTGGAGGTGAGCGCCGGTTTCGGGACGTCGGTGGCGTGCTACGTTGGTGTGACCTTTGCGGCGGACGTCGTGGTGGACGTGGAGTCGATGTCAGGAAGTGTGCGCAACGTGACGCTGGCGAACTGCACTTTTGTGAGCGGAGCGAGCCTGTACGTTTTGGGGTGGCAGTCCGACCCGCCTGCTGGCCAGCGCGCCGATGTGTTGATCAGCGGACTTGAGTCGCGCTCCGGCGGTGGCGTGGTGGTGGCGAACCGATTTCCGCCGGGCTCGCGCGTCACCGTGGTGGACTCGGTGCTTATCGCAGAGGCGCGTGTTGTGTACCGCAACGCCTACGGCCTTGGCGACGTCTCCGCGTGCCTCGTGGTGCACAAGGTGAATCTGACGGGGAGCGTGCTGACCATCGCGCGCACGCAGGCGGTGGCGGTGTTCCGCGACGCTGTTGGTGTGCTGGTTTTTGGCGGCGTGGCGCTGTCGTCGCGCGGAGCGCTGTACGTGGACGGGCTGTCGGTGCAGACGGCGCTGGGATTGTGCGTGTCGGCGGAGGGCGGTGTTGCGGCCAGTGGCGGCTCCGTGGTGGCGTTTGTTGACAGCGACTTCCTGCTGTGCAAGCATGCGGTGTCTGTGCGTGGGGCTGTGAGCGTGTCGGGCTCCGTTGTGGCGCTTGTGCGGAGCGAGTTTTTGTCGACGGAGGAATACGCGGTGGCGTTTTATTCGACGGTGAGTCTGGCCGGCGGGTCGATGCTGCTGGTGAAGGGCAACGTGCACGACGGCGTCTCGAGGGAGATGCTCCACGCCGCTGGCGCCGTGACCGCTGTTGGGAGCACGCTGAGCTTCGTGCACAACCGAGCGCTGCTGCCGCGGATGCTGTCGGTGAGCCTGTCGCTTGCGGCTGGGGCGCATTTGAGGGTTGCGTGCAACGACGCTGGTAGACGTGTTCTGTCGACGGCGGAGGAGTACGCTGCGGCTGGTTTTGGCGACGCTGGGAGCATCGACGTTGTTGGGTGCGACGCCTGCGACAGGGACACGCACTGCTACGCGCCCGGGACGGCGTCCGCGAGCATGAGGAACGGTGTGTGCGTTTGCCTGTGCGGCAGCGGCGGGTACGGCGAGGCGTGCTTGCCTGTGGGAGCTCCCGCACTGCCGCCCGCTGTGGGCACCGCGTCGAGTGTGTTCGTCCGCGAGGGCGTGACGGTGCGGTCGGTGTTCGTTGTGCCTGCCGGTGCGAGCGAGGTGACGCTGCGCCACGTTGTGCTGGACGGCGTGAGTCCGGTGCTCTACGTGCCGTGGATGGCGCGGGACGGCGTGCGGATCGTTGTGCAGAACGTGTCGCTGCTGAACGGTGCCGTGCTGTACGTGATGGGCGGTGGAGCGTTGCGCGGTGCAGGTGCGGCGGGGAGCGACGAGAGCGGGCCGGTGGAGCTGTCCGTGTGCGATGTGGAGGCGCTGAACGGTGCGCTTGTGCTGACCGGCACGTTTCCCGCGGGGTCCGTGCTGACGGTGACGGACTCCCTGCTGGTTGCCGCGAGGTCGACGCCGCTTGTGTATCTTCCCGGCTCTCAGTTCTCGCCGTACGCACCGCTGCTGGTGCTGTCGGGCCTGCGGCTCGTGCGGTCCGTTCTGGTTGTGTCCGGCGTTGCCCTCGTGACCGTGATGACTGGTGGGCGGACGGTGGTGGTGGACGGCGCCGTGCTGGAGCTTGTCGGTGGCGGTGTCGCGCTGGACGCGGCTGTGCTCGGTGGCGACGTTGCGTTGTACGCGAGTGCGCGCGTGGTTGCGACAGGGGGCGCTGTGCTGCGCGTGTCGGGGAGCCCAGGTGTACGCCGCGCATGGGTTGGTGT